CCGTAGAGTTTCCTATGAACTATGACCGCCCGAACAAGCAACAAGTAGTAAGCAACCGACACAATCCAGCTGCCGAAATACTACAGGACTTGGGACCGCAAGATCATCAATTAGGGCGCACTGTAACTTCGACATTAAACGCTAACAAGTGGAAAGTTTGACACTCGACGACCTACCAGGAAACACCGAGCTTCTAACAGCAATAAAAGTCATCGGGTTGACTATCTGTGGACTACCTTTGTTGATGAGTTATTTTTACCTGCCCAGCTATTCCGTTGGCAAATCGTTTACCGTTACCATATAGTTTTGACTGAGCAGTAGGAAGGAGGATGACAGAAGGCACCGGCAAGAATGGTAATCCAACCAGCAGTGCTAGCATTACAAGACCTGGGGTAGTCACCACTAGTCCACCCTCCACTGCACGGCGATATCCCCGATAACTTTACTCGCAATAAGGCAAATGGTCCTGGCTTATGTGATCCTAATGAAGTGCAAGTAAGTTTCTTCTCCACTGTAACAAGCTACCTGGTGCACGTAGACCCTTGACCACGTTAATCCCGAGGGTGGCGCCCGAGCATGAAAATCAACTGAAAGCCTTTTACCGACCATTGAGCTTGCCACAGCTGAACAGCCAGAAAAACTTGTTACAAATTTGGCGCCCGAGCAGGGACCGCTGGAAATCAACCGAAAGTCTTTTACCGACCATTGCGTTACAACTTTATAGTTTAGAAAATATTTGGATTATTATTTAAATTCACATTTTAGTGTAAGTTAAAGCCATAAGGACTGCAAAGCTTCGATAATTCAAATTTAAAATTCATAGCGCATTAGGATTAGGCGTCTTTTCGATTCAAAAACATTTCCTTCCATCGGTACCGCCTAAAAATGTCCCATTATTTTATTTTGAATTGGAAATGGCGGACCTAAATTCGCGAGAGGATGTTTTATATCGGCGGCGGCCAAACGAATCGAGCAGTGAAGCTGAGCGCAAATAAAATTTTCCGTCTTTTTTTTTTGTTCTCCCGACTAGATTGTCGTGATTAGAATTTTCAAGTCGCTGGCAAATACGACATAATTTAAAGTCGGGAGAGGGCGTAATGGACTGCAATTAAATTAAGTGAGAATGTCGATGGAATAGGCAGTTTTTCTAGGAAGGACGAAGGATTCCGGTGCTAGCGTTTTTCTTGATTAAATCTTGCTTTAAAGGGATTATGTGATGTGAGCTATTATTTGCATTACCTGGGTAAATTTAATCCATTACACGTTACATTATCCAGTTTCAATTTACTTTTAAAAAGAAAGAAAAATCAACTCATGAAAATTACACCATCAAGTTTATTACCAAAATGGAACAACTCATCAAGCTCGCTGAGAATTTATACACATTTCCAGAAAGATATTTAAAAGCTTCAAGCGAATGCGTTCAATATAAATTTATCTTTGAATGAATTCTATAATGTTATGCAGCAACTGCATTAATTCATGACAGTATAGGTAAGACAATTACTTAGGGGTCATAGCCAACGACAGAAAACCACCGGGGATTCGTTATTAATATTCAAAGACGTCCCCATACAGCAGAAATTCTAATTTCTGACAAGAATTCACGATCCACGCCTTCCAGAGGGGACCGAACTTCTATAATTCAGTCATTAAATTTGCATAAGGCTTCTTTAGGTAACTGTTTTGCAGATCCGGTTATACGATCTTTACCCTTTAAAATAGAGATGGTTGGAAAACAACAAGCGTAAGTGAATGTTACAGTTAGGTTCAGAAAAAAAAGGACTATATTAATGTAGATGATTGGATTAAGAAATTATCAGGAAATTAAGATTAGGAGAGAGAAAATTTGTTCCTGTGTTCCCCTTTCTTCAGTCAAAACTTTCGTTCGGTTTATTTTTTAAATCGTTCTTGATTTGAAATGTTTGCATGTAAATCTTTCACTCATCAGGCAAAATTGCTTTTCTCAATTCACTCCTGGGAGTTGAGGGGAATTAACAAACCTGGCATGATAAAGTGCTGATTTTTTCCATTTCATTCATGACTATTTTCAAGTTTTAGCTGAAAAACACAAGTACTTGTTTCACTGAATAAACTTTAGGAAAAGTTAAAGCAATAAATCTTAAAATTTTCTCACATTTCTGGTTAAGCTGTGTGTAAGTAATAGAATTCGAATTCCTTTCTCATTAAGTTTCGGGGAAACTTCGCGAACCGTCTTGCTGTTATAAACAGGTGCGGTATTGTCCTTAATCTCTCAGCGAGAGGGAGGGATTATATTTTCCCCTCTTTGCTTTTGCGAAGGAAACCGACGTGGCACATTTCGTGTTTTAACGATCCCTCTGAGCCATTTTCTTGTCTAAAAAACAAGGAATTATCTTAACTAAGTGCACGCTGTGACTAGTCCTACTTCACTCTGTATTTTTGAATATTTAGAATTAATGAACAAGCTTGCCGATAGCAATTTGTCTGAATAAAATGTTTGCTTAGTTATAAGGAGATAATGGCAAGAACCTGAGAAGAACCACCTATTAAAAATATTATTTCTTCAAAACTCAATTTTTTTAAAAAAACGTTTACTGAATAAAATTAAATGTTGCAACCATGTACTGCGCCACAGAGTTTAGGTTTAGGGGACAACGAGGGTACCATCCGAAAGGGAGGTAAAGAAGAATAAGCGATTAGGCTTTGGAATGGAGAACAAGCGGCGGCTCTCCGAGACGCGCGTCTGTAATTATTCATTTTTCACATTTCATTCCTATTTTGCATTAAAATTAATTGTTCAATTCAATTTGTTATTAGTGTGTGTGTGTAAGGAACGTACAGGTTAGTGGATTAATTATTATTTGGTCTTTGAGAGTTCAATTTACGCAAGTACAGTAGTGTCTCGATAAATGACTCTGTAATCAGGATTTTACTTGATTCGGTAATCCGAATTTATTCACATGACTCTTGAAAATAAAAGCACAGGTTTTCACTTGTCGTTTTGTAACTGTGTTCAAGTGAATAGGTAGTTTTTCACATGTCTACACGCATCATTTAATACGCTGCGTCCTTCCTGACTGTGTGGGTTTTTTTAAAGAAAATGGAACCTATTAAACGCAAACACAAAACTTTCTCAACGAAAAGTTAGCGATTATAGACGAGTTTTCAAATAAATATAAAGTTTTTTTGCTTAAATATGGCATGTTATTTTTTCAAAATAGTTTTAAAAGCGAACTGTAAAATGCCTTAGTAATCCGAATAATTTGATAATCCGGATTGGTCTGGTTTTAATTGATCCGGATTATCACAACACTACTGTATTATTTTTTTTTCCAATTTTTATGTTTTTTTTGTTTGTTTATAACATTTTTTATAACATGTGCATTGTTTATGTATTTAACCAAAAATCGTTTCATACTGTAAACAACACAGATAAAGAAGGAAATTAGAACCTAAGAAATTATGTGCTGTCTTTTGTGCTGAGATTTTGATTTTTTGAATTTAGAGCGTGCATTAGACCCTTGTTGATTTTACCAACATTTTCCTACCCTGACGAGAGAATATCCTAACAAATTGAAATAATCAATCTAGAGATATTGGCTCAAAAACAACTATAGCTGGGTAGCATCCCGTATGGGACCTCAGTACCTTCCGGCAGACCGGCTAACTAACCAAAAACTCTTCAGTTTTGATTATACCTATAATCAAAACTGTGTGTGTTGATTGAATGTAGTATGTGTAATTGAAATTTTAGCACAAGAACAGGGGCGGTACCTAATTTGAACTTTTATTGACCTAAATTATTGAATTAATGACTCACAATGATTATTTACCTAAAATGACACAGTATGTTTCGATTTTTGGGGAATCGAGGTTTTCTCCGCCGTTCTCTTTTTCCTCGTTAATTCCAGGTCGAGAACGGTAAGTTTTTCTTTGAAAATAAAGAAGACGTTTCTCAAATTTTGCGTTTCTTTTACATATTACAGCTTCTCTTAAATTTCCCAAATATTTTCTATGTCGAGCGCATGTCCAATAAGTAAAATTGAGTAAGTTTCCACAACGTAGGTAGGTCCTAAAGTTGTTGTTTAAAAGGTAATAAAAATTCTCATCGTTCAATCTCACTGAGCGAACCTGGGTATGTTATACTACAAACCCTATTTATCTATATCTACAGAGTTAACAAGCACACTTTAACTAAGATTTAGAATATATGGGTATTTTAATTATATTTTAACCATCGTTTTTTCTAACTTTCTCTACTTCCTTTTGCCCATGCTTATCAATTGCAAATAAAATACTAGGAGTCGACCATTCTTCCTTAGAAATCTTAAAAGTCTTTTCCTGAGACTCCTCATTGAATAGCCAATCACTCACGAATTCTATTGGTGCTGTCACTAAGAATTGGACACAAAAAGTTTAATAGCACTCGATTATCCGTCTTTGCAATATAAAATTCTATGGGTTTTATAATGTAAATGAACATAAATTCGTTAAATTATTTGAGCACTGTTTCATTGGAATGATGTAAAATTTCATTTAATTAATGATGATTCTTTTTCAGTGTATAAAGGCATTCAATAACCGAAATAGTTCTCTAATACCCCTAATAATTATTTCATAAATGATCTCGAAAGCCCATCCCTGTTTGGGCTTACCCTACTTATACCTATTCCCTTAATGTGTTCCTTCCATTAGGTAAACTTCTGAAGAACTTCTATAAACGGACCGACCTTTTTCGACGTTTACGTGATCCACAAACTCTATAACTTGGCCAGAAAAATAAGTTATATCATCGTAAATTGACGAAATAAGTCTTTGTATTTAGAAATTACTTGGAAAAACTTTTTATACTAAAATCTGAAATTAATTTCCAAAACTCTGATCCATAATCACTGCGTATAAAATCAGGCAAACAACTCAAAACTGCAAATTTTTAATTCGCATAAAATCACAAACATTCACAAGCAAAAAATAAGTAATTCATTTAAAATAAAATATTATAATTATATACACAAATAAACTAATATCACCTGACAGTCATTATCGAGTTACAGTCAAAATCGAATTCTTAGCCTTAACTTTTTGCTCTTTAAGTTCAGCAAGTTCCATTTCCTTGAAATAGCACTCGTCGTTTTTCGTCAGCAACAAAGGCCTTTTAAAAGTTTTGCCCTTGAACTTCAATTCGCAAAAAAACTTCCTGCCTTTCGGCCCGCAATACTTTGCCCTCCACAAAATTTTACTGTCGATTTGTTTCCAATTGCAATAGAAAATCCCCATGGTTTCGTTGGCCAGAAATAATTCTTGGTGTTTTTGGAATACGGCTATAAATGATTGGAACATTTTGACGCTGCTGTGTATCAAGTTCAGATGGGCCACCATGTTTCTGTAACTACTGTTGAATCCGCACTCTTCCATCGGGCACAAAAACTGACAAAAAGTACAATTGAGCTCATGTTCTTCGATTTCATCATATGGTAACTTCTTGTGACAACCGTTTCTCTGATTTGTACAAGTGTACACGTGATCGATGGCTTTGGTTTCGAGTTCTTCGTTTCTTTGTCCGGTGATTTCTTTATCGCAAATTATACAACTTTCGCAATCGGCATAACAAGTTGGACAAATGTTGTGACTGTTAGCACACAAGAATATTGGTGCGGATAAGTGCGAATCGCAATTGCAACATTTCAGTTCGAAATCTAAATCGGTTTCAGCAATTGAACCAAGGCTTCGCATGCTTGAGTGACGCCTTAGAGCACTATTTCTTCGAATATCTTCAGAGCTAAATGTATGTGATCGATTTAGTAAGCTAGCAGGTTGTTTTGGTAAATAACTGTCCATTCCGTACCAAGTTGCTCTATTTGCCTCATTAGAGCTATCAGGTTTTTCTCTAAGTTCAACAGTTGATAAGTTTTGAAGACTTGGTGATACATACTTCATTAATTTGTTTTCACTTGTTGATAAATTTTGAAGACTTGGAGATAAATGTTTCATTAATTCAATGTTTTCTGTTGCAAATTCTTCATTTTTTTTTGGCGGGTCTTCAAAAACATCATCCACATCAGGGCTTTGAGCAGTGAAGTCGCCACTCACTGATAATTGGCAATTAATTGCATTGACCTCTCCAAAATGGGCTTCTATACACTTCAACGAAACACTAAAACAACCGTCTTCTTCAATAACATATGGTTTCTCCAATTTAACTCCATTAGCTGTCAGATCAATGTCGTAAGTTAAATTCGAAGCAATTAATGCTGGTCCTAAATATCTCAAATAAATGTTGAGATGTTCCCCATTGATTTTGGTTTGTAATAAATATATTTCCGTGTCGAATAGTAACAGGCGGTTTTCGGATGCTACGTCTAAAGGTATGTTAACAGATCCGGAAAAAAATAGTAATTCTTCATGTTCTTCACTGAAATGTTCGTAAATGTCGTTCGAGGAGCCTTCCCAGGTGCAGCCGTATTTTTTATCGGCTGGGCATAGGAATATTTTGGTAAGCATTGCAGAGTAATGATCTGAAAAAAAAAAGAAAAATGTATTTCAGCTGATTTAGGATTTAATTACAAAGACAAAAGTAGAGGAAGTGGAAGTAGAAATTTAATTATCGTATGTGCTCTTTTTGCTTACAAAGAAGGGATGGATTTGATGACACGAAGTAACGGGGACACGATTAAAAAACCATTGTTAGGAGAAAATGTCGAAATTATAGGACTTAGAATCTGAAGAAGTTGAAGAATTAAAGGGACCATTAAGGAGAAGCAATCGAAACGTAGGTACCTACCACAACGAAAACATCTTGAAACACTGGAAGATGGCAGTTGTGGATACCCGAGGGGGTAGTCACTGTGGAAATCTTTATCCTACAACATGGAGATCTCATTAAGATCTGCGGAAATCCAAGAATATCCATACAGACCCACTGGAGATAAATGAAAATCCGGTGGAAATACGTGGAGATCCAAGAACTTCAGCTGCAGTCGTGAAGAACCGGGAAAGCGCAATTGGGTGTACACATCGTTTTAACTGGTACCGTTGTTATGAATGTATATGAAAGTCCAGAGGAGGTACACGGAGAATCATGAAAAACCGATCCAAGGATATGCCTGGAGATCGAAGGATATCCATGGAGTTCCAAGATCTCCACAAGTGAAGATTCACTATCGCAAATGACTACCTCCGAGGGCTTAGCCACTGTAAGTGAAAATTGAAATGTTCTACGGGATAGAGATCTCATGGAGTCGATCCGAAAAGATATGTGGAAATCTGTAAATGTCATCTGTGGAGATACATGAAGATTTATGGGAGATACGGAAAGATCCGGTGGAAATACGTAGAGATTCAAGATCTTCGACTCCATTCGTGTAAAATAGGAAAAGCAAAATTGAGTGCGCATATTTAACTGTTACCGTGGTTGATAATGTATATAGGGGTCTGGAGGAGATAGACGAAGATCCATGGAAATCTAAATGAGCTTCATGGAAATCCAATGATATGCCTGAGGATCTCAAAATATTCCTGGACCCAAGGATTTTCTAAAAAATCGCAAGGGACTACACTAGTTTTACCAGCGAAATTATGATTTAGAGAGAAACCCAGACTGGAAAGAGCTGGAAATTATTGATTGTGCATGTCTTCATCCCCCAAGAGAGTTGAATAATGAAAAATTCAACAGTCAGGTGGAAAAATGTTACAAGATGAGTTTATTCTGTAACCGATATAAATATGGTGTCCTGAAAAGAAGAAAGTCTATTAGGGTATTTAAGTATCAAGAACGTGAATCAAGAAACCACTAATCAAACAGAAGAAAGTGTCATACAGAATAATCAAGAAGCTCAGATCGAATCTGAAGAAGTTGAAAAATTAGAACCATCAAGGAGAAGCAATCGGAACTTAGGTACCACAACCAAAACATCTTGAAGCACTGAAAGATGGCAGTTGTAGATACCCGAGGTGGTAGTCACTGTGGGAAACTTCTGTCCTACAACATGGTGATCTCATTGAGATCTGTGGAAATACATGAATATCTGTGGAAATTCACTAGAGATACCTAGATGAATATCCGGTAGAAATTCGTGAAGATCCAAGACCTCCAGCTGCAGTCGTGTAGAATTGTTTTAACTGGTACCGTTGTTATTAATGTATATGAAAGTACGCAGAAGGTACAGGGAGAATCATGGAAAACCAATCCAAGGATATACCTGGTTCCAAGAAGATCTCCATAAGTCAAGATTCACTTTTGCAAATAACTACCTCCGGGGGGTTAGCCACTGTGGGTAAAAAGTGTACTGTTTTACGGGATCGGTGAAGATAAGTGGAGAACTGTAAAAATCATCTGTGAAGAAACATGAAGATTTATTGGAGATACGCGGAGATACGGTGGAAATACGTGAAGATTCAAGAACTTCAGCTGCATTCGTGTAAAGCGCAATTGCGTGTGAACATCGTTTCAACTGGTATACCGTTGTTATTTTCATCGTTTTTGATATAGGTTCTATAGGCAATTTTCAACATTCACCGTTTATCTGGAGTCATTTATACACACCTTCTTTTCAGTTCGTATTTTTGGGGTGAAACTTAACACGCTTTTTTCTATAATTTTCATCAATGTCAAAATTAGAAGTTTGATAAATGGAAGCCCTCTTTCCAAACCTAAAAGGAAGAATCTGCCCTTTTGATTTGAGACCTCATGTTGTGAGGTCCGGTCTTGGCTCTAATTATTTTTGGGCAAGACTTTTTGGAATTTTGTGCCAGGGAAACTCAACTTAGACTAAAGGCAATTTGAAGAGCACATGTCAACACACTCGGATATTTATCCTTTTGAATGTGACACTTGCAAAGTAAGATTTAAACAAAAAATCCTTTTGAAGATGCACATGGTAACACATTCGGATATTCATCCTTTTGAATGTGACACTTGCAAAGCAAAATTTAAAAGAAAAGGCGATTTGAAGAGGCACATGTTAACACACTCGGATATTCATCCTTTTGAATGTCACACTTGCAAAGTGAAATTTAAATAAAAAGGCAATTTGAAGAGGCACGTGTTCACACACTCGGATATTCATCCCTTCGAATGTGACACTTACAAAGCAAAATTTAAAAAAAAAAAAAAAAACGATTTGAAGATGCACATGGTAATACACTCGGATATTCATCCTTTTGAAAATGACACTTGCAAAGCAAAATTTAAATGAAAATTACCTATGAAAGTCCGGAGGAGGTACACGGAGAATCATGGAAAACCGATATCAAGGATATGCCTGGAGATCCAAGGATATCCATGGAGATCTATGGAGTGATCTACACAAGTGAAGATTCTTTGTCCTAAAAAATGGCCATTGTGGGAGAAAATCTTCTGTTTCACGAGATGGAGATCTCATGGAAGCGATCAGTGGAAATTTTTGAAGATCTGTAAAAATCGATGGCTATCTGTGGAGCCACAGATACGGGGTCTTTCGGTGTAAATACGTGGAGATTCCAGAACTTGAACAACAGTCATGTGAAATCGGAAAAGCAAAATTGAGTGCGCACATCATTTTAACTGTTACCGTGGTTAATAATGTATATAGATAGAGGTGTGGAGGATATATACGAAGATCCATGGAAATCTAAATGAGCTCCATGGAGATCCAGTGATATGCCTGAGGATCTCAGAATATCCCTGGATCCAAGGATTTTATGAAAAATCGCAAGGAACTACCTAGAATAGAGATATTGATTGCTATTCGTTACAGAGTTGCAGCCCTCTAGAATCTGGAATCCCACGGTATCCTACTGAAATACCACCCAATCCTATTGAGCTGCAAGTCTGTAACTGATAGAGATCGTTATTTCCCTCGCTATGGCACTTGCTGTCTTCTCTCACATCGAAATCAATAGAGAGGGAACGACAATAGAAATAGAGATATTGATCACTATTCCTTACAAATTCACAGCACTCTAAAATCCCACTGTATCCTACTAGAATCCTACAAAATCTTACTGGAATCCCACACAATCCTAGTACTGGAGTTCTGGAACTGATAGAGATTAGTATTCCTCTCGCTATGGTACTTGCTGTCTTCTTCTCCCTTATCAAAATCAATAGAGATAAGACGACAATAGAGATAGAGATATTGATCGCTATTCGTTACAGAGTTGCAGCCCTCTAGAATCTGGAATCCCACGGTATCCTACTGAAATCCCACCCAATCCTATTGAGCTGGAAGTCTGCAACTGAAAGACATCGTTATTTCCATCGCCATGGCACTTGCTGTCTTCTTCTCTCACGTCGAAATCAATAGAGAGGGAACGACAATAGAAATAGAGATATTGATCACTATTCGTTACAAATTCCCAGCACTCTAAAATCCCACTGTATCCTACTAGAATCCTACGAAATCTTACTGGAATCCCACACAATCCTCCTGAGCTGAAACTCTATAACGGTTAGAGATTATTATTCCTCTCGCTATAGCACTTGCTGTCTTCTTCTCGGTTATCGAAATCAATAGAGATAAAGATATTGATTGCTATTTGTTACAGAGTCTCAGCCCTCTGGAATCTAGAATCCCACGGTATTCTACTAAAATCCTACGAAATCTTACTGGAATCTCACACAATCCTACTGGGCTGGAAATTTGTAACTGATAGAGATCGTTATTTCCTTCGCTATGGCACTTGCTGTTTTTTTCGCTCACATCGAAATTAATAGAGAGGAAACGACAATAGAAATAGAGATATTGATCACTATTTGTTACAAATTTCCAGTATTAGAGTACTGTATCCTACTAGAATCCTACGAAATCTTACAAGAATCCCAGACAATCCTACTGGGCTGGAACTTTGTAACTAATATAGAGATTATTATTCTTCTCGCTATGACACTTGCTGTCTTCTTCTCCCTTATTGAAATGAATAGAGATTAGACGACAATAGAGATAGAAATAGGTATTGATCGCCATTCGTTACTGAGTCCCAGACCTCTGAAATCCCACTGTATCCTACTAGAATCCTACGGAATTTTACTGGAATCCCACACAATCCTACTGAGCTGAAGCTCTGTAACTGTTAGAGATTATTATTCTTCTCGTTATGGCACTTGCTGTCTTCTTCTCCCTTATCGAAATCAATAGAGATTAGACGACAATAGAGATAGAGATGTTGATCGCTATTCGTTACAGAGCTGCAGCCCTCTAGAATCTGAAATCCCACGGTATCCTACTGAAATACCACCCAATCCTATTGAGCTACTGAAAGTCTGTAACTGATAGAGATCATTATTTCCCTCGCTATAGCACTTGCTGTCTCCTTCTCTCACGTCGAAATCAATAGAGAGGGAACGACAATGGAAATAGAGATATTGATCACTATTCGTTACAAATTCCCAGCAGTCTAAAATCCTATTGTATCCTACTAGAATCCCACGCAATCCTACTGGAATCCAAAGGAATTCCATGGAATTTCTTGTGAATTTTTAGAATTATCTTGAACCTAGTGTTCACACAGTGATGCCAACTAGTGGGAATTTTCCCCAATTTTAACCAAAATATAAGTTGAAAGGGAAAAAGAGAAAAAAGTCAAAATAGTGATAATTTCATAGGAATTTCAACAGGTAGATAAAGTTTACGCAAAACTTCTTTTAATAACTTCACTTTGCCATCATTTGGCACTAACTCTACTAGTCAGAGTAGTAGAGTTCGAGTAGAGGAAGAACACTCCTTTTTTTTTTGGACACGTCACACATGTTTGATATTTCTGTCCTGTAGTAAAGGCCAGTTTCTCAATAGTAAGTCATCCCCGGGTTAAGCTTAACTTCAAGGTAAACATTGCAAATGATTGGAACCGTTTACCCTGGAGTTAAAACGAACCCGAAAGTAGCTCGCTATTAAGAAACCGGCCCCTACTCATTCATTTAAGCTTTGTTCCAACACAGCAGAATATCGTACAATGTACCATCACGATTCTGCGTGCGTATAATCCGAAATTCTCTGGTTCCGGAACCGTTTATGGGATGATTTTTGACGGAATTGGAACAAACCTTTTATGTTTTGCTTGTGTATTTTCTAAATATTGATATTGATACCGTTAAAAGGTTCAAAAAAAGGGCGTGGCACCCAAAAATTTCCGGCCTACGAAGAGGGAAAATAAGTGGGAATTTTTACTAGGCGAGTGTGGGAAATAAGGGAATTTTTGGTTCTGGCAGTGGGAATTTTCAGTTCAAAAGGTTGGCAACACTGGCCACAATAAGACTCAACCATTTTGGACCGCGGAACCTCAAAATATTATTAATCAATTTACTAGGAAAAACACTACAAGAAACTAGGTCAGCAAAATTTTCGTTAGTTTTTATATAATGCCATTGATCAGGAGCTGTCAAGGATTGTATTTGTGAAATTCGATTGGCGACAAATATTTGGTACTGATTTGCCGGATTGTACCAGCAAAATTATGATTTAGAGAGGAGCCCAGAATGGAAAGAGCTGGAAATTATTGATTGTGCATGTCTTTATCCACTAAGAGAGTTAAGCAATGGAAAATTCAACAGTCAAGTGAAAGAATTTTACATGATAAGTTACTTAATTCTGTAACCGATATAAATTATGATGTTCTGAAAAGAAGAAAGTCTATTGAGGTCTTTAATTATCAAGAACGTGAATAAAGAAACCAATAATCAAACAGGAGAAAATGTCGTACAGAATAATCAAGTTGAAGAAATAGAAGTACCATTAAAGGAGAAGCAATTGGGAGGTAACACAACCAAAACATCTGGTTCAGAGAGGAGCCTGGACTGGAAAAGCTGAAATTATTGATTGTGCATGTCTTCATCCACCAAGAGTGTTAAACAATGGAAAATTCAACAGTCAGACGTTCGAAGGTTACATGATGAGTTACTTCTGTAACCGATAAAAATTATGGTGTTCTGAAAAGAAGAAAGTCTATTGAGGTCTTCAAGTATCAAGAACGTGAATCAAGAAACCAATAATCGCACAGAAGAAAATGTCGTACAGAATAATCAAGTTGAAGAAATAGAAGAACCATTAACGGAGAAGCAATTGAAAAGTAACACGACCAAAACATCTGGTTAAGAGATAAGCCTGGACTGGAAAAGCTGAAAAATGATTGATTATGAATGTCTTTATCCACCAAGATAGTTAAACAATGAAAAATTCAACAGTCAGGTGAAAGAATGTTACATGATGAGTTACTTATGTAACTGATATAAATTATGGTGTCCTAAACAGGAGCAAATCTATCGCGGTCAAGATTTGATGGAAATTTTGTAGAAAATTGCCCAAATAAAATCACAATTCCTCAGAATTCAAAAGATAGATTTGAAGATGAGTCTGACAACCTAAAAAAAGGAATCTCGATGAATCAAGAAACCGTTGTTAGAATAGTAGAGGAAGATGTTGGTAATAATTAACATGTACAGAACACTCCAGAAGTTCAAGTAGAATTCGAAGAAGTTGAAGATACATAAGCAGAATCTTTGGCGACTTACCTGCATGTCTTTAGAACCACCCTGGCGCTGTCTGTAAAGGCTTCCCTTTCAAATCAATCAATTGTTAAGGAAAAAACACAATCGAAATATCTTGGAGGTTATGTAGGAACTACACTGGGAGCAGATACTCGTTTTCTGATAATGTTCTTTAGGAATTCTCTAGAAGAAATGAAAGACCAAGCCAGGAATTTGAATGTAAGCTGTTCATAAAGAAGTTGATTCATCCAGACAAAGCTTGGTCCAAAGTATAAATTCTTCCAAACAGAAAAGCTCAAATACAATTTTGCTTGTGATCTGTACAAGAAAAATTAGATGAATTTTGGATATATAAAGTTAAATTTTGTTTCAAGTTTCAATCCCAAACAGACCTTCCACTTCACATAAGAGTCGTCACAAAAGTATCATTCTCACTCCTAATATAAAAATATTTATTATTTCCACAAAACTCACCTGGTTTGTGGAGCTTAAAACTTCACAGCACGTTTTTCCTGGGCAGGATATTGCAAATTCCCTCCTGAAAAATGTAATAAACGATGTAATGGGCTTAATGAACTTTAATGAACAGAACGCCCCGTAACAAGGATTAAAGAGAGACTCTCTCTGGTTTGTTGAAAAGAATATTTTTTAAAGTGTGAGAAGAAAAATTAGGGCTTTTATGTTGAATAAATACTGCTTCTGGGTGTATTTTTGAGAGAAGATTATTTGCAACTAACAAACTTGCATTTTCAATAATTACTTAAACCAAATATAAACAATAAACAGCTCTTAAAATAGTGAAATGACTCTATTCTCTTTCCACATTTAAGTTTTTCATCACCACCCAGTATAAGGGAAAAATTTTGTAGCCATAAATAAGAAACCATATTAAAAAAATCAAAAATAATTAAAGCAAAATACTTACTTGTCTTGTTACCGTGCTGCGTTCACTTAAACAATTAAAAGCATAATAAATCGACTATTCCATCGAAAATTCCATAACAAAAATGAGGTAAATTTCGTCGTCATTTATTCGCTACCTATGAAAAATGTATGAACTGATAAGACCTTAACCACTTTTAGGAATTAAAAACCTGGCGATAATAATTTTTATCAGCAGATTGTTACACATAAAATTGAAGGTTACCTATACTCGGGTAAAATTAAAATTAGTTATCCTAGGATTTGCCAATAAATATTTTGATGACAAAACTTCACCGATTTTAATTGAATGAACTTTTCCAGCTGTTTCAAAAGAAACACACAAAAGCTTCTACTCCTCAATAAAGCTAAAACTATTTTTGAAATTTAGCACTTTTATGACCATTCCATGAACTCTCTATATGGCCATCAGCAAAAGTTTGTGAAGGCAATTATGCAAGTTTTCCTTTGTATTTCATTCGGGTGATAGAAAGTTTTGGAACTGGCCAGTTACGACATAATGCTGAATATGGAAAGCCAAGGATTGAATATATGAAAGGAAAGAATTCGTGATTATTCATTAAAGTAATTTTGATGTTACATTTACAAAAAACAAATCATTTTTACAAATGTTTGTTAAAAACCAATAAACCTTTCGAATCATTATTATTTGGCTATACAGAGGAAAATAGCTATTTTTTTATCCCTGATCGTTTTTATGAGTTTTTTAATTAAAGCCATTAAAACTGGCTCTCCTGGTTTTGGCGTAATACCGCCCTCCACCCTTATATTTTCCATTCATTTTTGCACTTGAAACTTTCATTATTGGCGGAATGAGGGCGAGATTATATTTGTCCGTCGCCGTTCAGGAAACGCTTTACGCGCTACTGAGGATTTAATTTTTCGCTGGAAATTTTCCCATAAAAAAAAATGAAGAGGAAAATAATTATTTATGTATCAATAAGGGCTTCAAAATCTAAAGAAATGGGAAAACTACCCTGATGAACTTTCTTTCAAGGCAAAAACTTTGACTTGTCTCAATCTCAATAAGTGTCATTGGGTAATAAGGAACAATATAGGCATAAATCTGTCATTTTTCAACATTTTTTTTTTTCGCCGCAAAAGTGGTTTCTATGAAAACAAATGTAGCCAAAACTGATTCCCAATACCAAGGTTTACCCAATACTCTTGATTTATTGGATTTTTAGCTGTGTTTACTAGGTGGTAAGCCAATCGAAAGCAGAGATTAATCAAGATATGAATTATGTCATCCAATCAAATCATCAAGGCCAGTTTGATTTAGCAAAATCTACATCAAAAAACCAAATTAATGGTTGGAATTTTTACATTATAAACCAATTACAAGAGCCGGGAATGATCAAAATTCAACCCACAGAACAAAATTTAAACCAGTGGCGGTCCATAGATGATTTTCTGGGGGGGTAATGGATGACGGGAAAATCATCAAGTGTCGAATGGTTTCCCGCCGGAGGCGAGTAAATTTTTTTTTGGGGTGCCACGCCCAAATTTGCACCTGAAAATCCTTTGAAACACACCTCATGCGAAAATGTATCCCGATGCCGGCAAAATAGTTATACAGGGTGTCCACTTAGTAGACGATATCTCCTTTCAGGGTAATGCAAGAAAAAAAAATTAAATTACAAAGTTGTTTGATACTCTAAGGTCCATTAGTTAAAAATAGTTTTGAATATACAGGGTGTTCCGTGAATGAGGTATGCGACAGACCTTTGTTATTTTAAATGGAACACCCTACATTTTAGAGCATTAATGGATTGTTTTAAAAATCCTACATAGTTTTTGTTAGGAATTACGTATAAAAACTAGACTCTTTTTGAAATATTTGAAATTTTTTCAAAAAATCGCAGTTTGCATGTGTCAACAAAAACCAACTCATTTCATTTATTTGAGATCCTAAATTTTTTGCAGGTTATTAGTGTATACTTACATTCACTTCATGGTCCTATGAAAATCTAACATTGAAATCTAATAACATTCTACAGGGTGTTTGCCATACTGTAACTGTACACAAAACCAGACATTTCAAACAACCATAGCTTTTTTTCCAAATGAAATACTCTTTATTTCACTGTATAGTAGTAGGTACGTCGATACTGGTGAGTATCAATTTATACAATGCCTTCCAGCTTTACTTTATAGAACTTGCCTTTTGTTGAAATTTTATTCTCAAGTGTATAAAAAAAATCTTTGTCTGGGGGGGGGTAATTACCCCTTCTACCCCCCCTTTAAACCGCCCATGATTTAAACAGAAGTTATTTTGGTACTTGATTTTTTTCATTTGAAATGCGTTGCGGTCCTTGAGGTAGTAGGTACCTACCTATTAAAATGATAAAATTACATTTTTTTTTTGTTGTTGAGATTTTGTGTTTAAATTATCATTCAGGGCCCCCCCAAACTCCATGCACTAAATTATTTTGAGATTTGAAGAGGAAATCTATGAAAAAAGGCACTCAGAGAAATTTAAAAATTGTTAAATTCACCCCAAATTGCTTAACGGGATTTTATTTCTGAAGCTATGATTCCAAATGAGCTGAAATTTTTAGGGAGGGTAGTCCTTTACTAGAATAGGAATCACTGGAAATTTCAGCTTTCTATCTCTAATGGAAAAAAAGGTATGATTTTTCAAAGTTTTAAGAAATCTAAATCATAACGTAGCTACCTTTAAATACTAAAATGATGAAATTTCAATTTTTTCATGTTGAAATTTTGTATCTAAATGATCATTCAATGCCTCTAATTTCCATACACCAAATTATTATGAGATTTGAAGTCGAGGTCTATGAAAAAAAGGCATTCAAAAAAATTGAAAAATTGATAAGTTTATCCCAAATTGCTTAACTCGATTTTATTTCTGAAACCATAAGTCCAAATAAGCTGATATTTTCAGAGATTGTAGTCTTCTACTAGAATAAAAATTGCTGAAAATTTCAATTTTCTATCTTTAATACAAAAAAAGAGATGACCTTCCAAAGTTTCCCAAAATCTAAATCATGAGCAACCTTCTTACTAAAACGATGAAATTTCAAATTTTTTCATGTTGGGATTTTGTGTCTAAATTATCTTTCGGGGCCCCTAAAATTTCATACACCAAATTATTATGAGATTCGAAGTCCAAATCTAAAAAAGGCACTCAGAAAAATCGAAAAATTGATAAATATACCTACCCCAAATTGCTTAACGCGATTTTATTTCTGAAACTATAAGTCCAAAGGGGCTGATATTTTCAGGGATTGTAATTCTCTACTGGGATAAGAATCGCTGAAAATTTCAGCATTTTTTTTCTGGTGAGATTTTCTGTTCTAATTGTCCTTTGGGACCCTCTCAATTCCATACACTAAATTATACTCAGATTTGAAGCCGGAATCTATGAAAAAAGGCACTCAGAAAAATTGAAAAATTGAAAAATCTTCCCAAATTGCACACGATTTTATTTCTGAAACTATAAGTCCAAATGAGCTTAAATTTCCAGGGATTGTAATCCTCTACTAGGATAAGAATCGCTGAAAATTGCAGCTTTCTATCTTTAAAAGAAAAAAAGTTATGACCTTTCAAAGTTTTTCAAAAACTAAATCATAAATCATCATTATTACCAGAACGATGAAATTTCAATTTTTTTTGTGTTGAGATTTTGTGTCGTAATGGTCCTTTGGGACCCCCTCAACTACATACACTGAATTATTCTCAGATTTGAAGTCGAAATCTATGAAAAAAGGCACTCAGAAGAATTGAAAAATTGATAAATCACCCCGAATTGCTTAACATGATTTGATTTATGAAACTGTAAGTCCAAATGAGCTGATATTTTCAGAGATTGTAGTCCTCTACTAGAATAAGAGCCGCTGAAAATTTCAGCTTTCTATTTCTAATGCCTGTATTACATCTGTGTATTTTTCCGTGTATTTATTCATGTAGTTCAGGGTGACAACCGAAAAACTTCAAACGCAACATAAGTCAGCATTATGAAAAACAAAATAATGTTGGCACCCTGAACTACATGAATAAATACACGGAAAAATACACAGATATAATACGGGCATAATAGAAAAAAAAGTTACACAGTAAAAAAAAATCCCGTGTATAATTACACGACAAAGTGGTAAACGCGTTGTGTGTATAAACTATACACCAGTGTTCGTAAAGTGCCGTCTATTTAATTTGGTAAACTGATATTTTACACAATACAGTGTTGAATCAAAGTTATATCCTGGTTCCGTGTAACTCTCATGACAATGTGTAATTTTTTACACCATTCTCATTAAAAAAAAAATCTCATTAAATGAACACCAAAAATGTTTAAATTTACACGGTAAACGAACGTTTATACACTCAATAGTGTTTTGGGCCATCCTCTAACCTTCTTTTGTGTGACAGTGATCAGTTCCAAGCGTGCTGATGCGCTGATGGGATGGTTGATGTTCGTTTGTCGTTGTCTACAATAAAAATCATTGGAAACAAAAACTAAAGAGTTACGCCATGGATGAATAGTTTTTTAATGTGTTTTGTATGATTTTTGGAAAAGTCGCACATTTTCACGTCTATTCTGGATGAAAATATTTGATCCGATAGCTGTTTTTATTTTATTTTAAGGTTTATCCTCAATAATTTTAGTTTTACCAGTTCAATTTAATAGGTTTGTAGGGAAGGGTGATTACCTATACCATTATCACCTATGATGAACCCATTAAATTAAATACGTTAAGCTAAAAAAGTTGAGGATAGAACATCAAAAAATAAATAAAATAAAATAAAAATAACCATCGGAATATCAAATATTTTCAACAGACTAGTCGTAAAAAATGCGACTTTTCAAAAAATCATACAAAAAACAGGATGTTCCATCCTGTACATTAACACGATTCGGTGTATCCTATTCAACACTGTTTTGTGTAAATCCAACACGCATATTTGGAAATATGTACACTGTTGTGTGTATATTTAACATAAATTAGTGTAAAAGTTACATGATATGGTGTATTATGTTTAACACCATTTTGTGTAAATTCTTCACGCAAATTCTCATCAAATTTACCAAAAACCTTAGTGTTAAAAAATGTACACAAACTGAGCTGGAATTCTGTAACGAATAGAGATATTTTCGCTATCGCT